TCCGCGTTCGGGTTGTAGGCCGCGCCGCAGGTCGCCGGGTCCGGGTCCGCCCCCGCGGCCAAGAGCGCCGCGGCGAGGCCGTCGAGGCCCTCGAGGCACGCGTAGAGGAGCGCGTCGGACCCGCGCTCGTTGCGGACCGTCGCGTCCGCGCCGCGCTCTAACAGCAGCGCCGCGACGTTTCCGTGGCCGTACTGGGCGGCGACGACGAGCGCCGACGAGCCCCACATGCCCCGCGCGTCCGCGCGCGCGCCGCCGTCGAGCGCGGCGCCGGCCGCCGCGGCGTCGCCGGCCTTGGCCGCGGCGACGAGCCGCGCGTCCGCGTCCGCCTCGCCGTGGGGCACGGGCGGCCGCACGACGAGGCCGTCGGCGAGCCGCTCGAGCCCCGCCTCGCCGCACCCGGAAACGGCGACGGCCGGCGGCGGCCGCGCCGGCGCCGCGGGCCGTTTGTCGGGGGCGAGGGACTCGCCGGGCGCGTCGCAGTCGGGCGCCTCGCACCCGGCCGCCAGCGGCGTCACCTTCCCCCGGAAGCACAGCGCGTAGCGCGCATACCGGTACAGCGCCCCGACCATCATCGACGCCGCGTCGCGCCTGTCGCGGCCCGCATGTCGGTTTTGGGCAGCCCCCGGCATCGACGGCAACTTGAAGGCGGGTGCCGCATCGGTGCCGCATCGGTGCCGCACGGCATGATCACGACGCATGACGGCCTTGCGAGCTGCTCGGTTTTTAGGTGACCGCTCCGAGCCGTCCTCTCTCTGCACACGCGGCGCTGCTCGGTTTTTAGGTGACCGCTCCGAGCCGTCCTCTCTCTGCACACGCGGCGCTGCTCGAAGGATGATGCGCGCGCTGGTCGTCGCCCTCTGCGCCGGCGCCGGTGCGCTCGAGCTCGCCGTCGTGTCCCTCGCCGTGCCGAAAGCGTCGGAGCGCTACGGCGCGGCGGGCCGGGCCTGGCGCTGGAAGTCGGCGGTCCTCGGCGACGACATGGCCTTCCCCCGGCCGCGCAACGCGCGCGCCGTCGCCGAGGCCGTCGTCGCGTGCGGCGGCGGCGCCGTCGCCGAGGCCGCGGCGCTCGCGACGTGCGCGCGCCTCGACGTCGTCGTCGCCGGCGCCGACGGCGAGGCCGCCGCCGCCGCCGCGCGGGCGTGCCTCGCGGCGCTCGTGCTGCGGCACGGGCCCGGCGGCGACGTGCGGCGCGCGCTCGACCGCGCGGGCGGCGAGATCGCGGCCGCCGCGGCCGCGGGCGTCCCCGCGGGCGCGGACGCGGGCGACCTCGACGGCGCCTTCGCGA